GTGACGAACAATACTAAGGAGGGAGCAGTGTTGCGTCAGCGAGGTCACGTGACGCGTTCTCTCGAACCTTCGGGAATTGTCGGGAGATTACTAGATATAGGGTAGTCTGGTATATATAAGAGGGTGACAACGTGACGGGACAACAATGTGTATGTAGGTAATGAATAATTGAACTGCAGTCAGAGTGAGACGTATTGTATTGTTGAAGTCGAGCTCGTGAGACGTGAATTATAGTTTGTTATAGCGCGATTATTGAAGTTGAGTGTATCGTAAAGTTATATTCAGAAAGAATAAACCAGTTTTATTAAGTAAGGACTTGTGTCGCTAAAGTTTCGTTGGAACCAAGTTACGGAAAGTTAATTAACAAACGGAGACGTAACAGTATCAATATTTCCTCCTTCCTATCTACAGAATAACAACAGATCTGATAAGTTATTTATTACAAAGTAGTTGTGAGTTCGTGAGAATGAAATATAGAGACTAGACACAAAGTAAGACAAAATTGATAATAATTTTTAACATCAAGAAAACAAACAAACCATATTTAGTTGGCAGGATTTTCGTCAAAAGAAAGTTAAAAGATTAGATAATTTCTCATGTTTTTAAATGCATTGACAAATCCAAACTACTTTAAAGTCTAAACACTTAAACAGGTGGGTAAAATAATTTAAAATACATATCTGTCAAACCGTATTTCGAGACAGCAATAACCTACTTGTTTATACTATTACAGAAATAAGTGAGGCATTACGAAAACTCCAAAGTTGTTATTTTGGAATTTTTTCCCGAATTCGTTTTACCTAACTAAAGTAACTTTCCAAGTCTCGAATGTCGTAAAATTACAGCTGTTATGAAACTTTTACAGTACGTTGTAATGTTGATAAACATATTACGCCTAACCGTTAGGGTTGTATGAATTATAGTTTTCCCTATGAGACAAGATTAATGGTTGTTAAAAAGCACGTGCGTAATACCATGTACGCACGTAATGTCTGGACAGGCGTACGCGCAGGTTATTCTGACCAGGAGTGATAACATCCCACCGGTACAGTTAGAGAAGAGCGCCGTTAGACGAACTAATGTGTTATCGCGATGTTATTGTAGGATCTGCTTTTAACATATGTGGGTAAGTATTAATTTTGTTGATCCTCGGGAAGTCCGTTTTTAATATTTAGTTTGTTTAACCTTTCATGTTTTTATGCTTATGTCATTACTCCAACATAATCAAAATACACAGTGAAGAGTATAGTACTACTAGTAATACTGCTGCTGTTCTGTTTTGCCTTTTGGTGTTGAAATGAAGTGTTGTACTTAAGAGTTGGAATACTTTTATCATGGCGGCGTTTGTTTATTGAAACTGAAATTAATTTTAAACAAGTTAGAGCAAGTGTACCTTGCTGGGAATTGCCATGTTTGTGGAATGTAAGGTTTTTCTTTAGACAAGACCCAAATTTTGAAAATGAAAGAGCTTCGCAGTTTCTTGTAAGCAAATAATTTTTATTTAACTGTTTTCCGTAAATATAAACGAAGTAAACAAAGGTTTTGCTTATTATTATGACCTTACTCTATATACAATCTGAATGTTTGTTTTTTAAAATTTTATGGTTTTGATTTCAATGCTAAAAAGTATAAATCATGCTACTTGGGTGAATTCAGAAGTTGCTATAATTGTAAATTATATCATTTAATTCTGGAAAAGAACCGAAACTTCAGAGTTACATAAAGCTATGTATGACAAAAATTCAAAACAATACGAAGAAGTGAAAATAGTACATTAAAACATAAGGCGATGATAAGTGTGTTCTTCTTGTGAAGTTATATTTTTTCTACCGCTGTGCTTGCATTTTACGAGGCTTTAAGGAAGACGTACATACGGTAATGTTTTCCTAATCGACGAACCCACGCGGCGAACGGCTGTTTAGCTTGCGATTATAAAACTGTAAAGAGCATTCGTCCAGGGCGAGACCATTTTTAAAGTGAGGGATATAACTGAGGGTGTAGCTTTTGTGTTGTTGTGTTTTTGGCTGGCCCCTGATCTGTAGCTTCGTCATCAAGCACATATTTGTCTGAAATCGATTTTTGACGCTATCAAATTTCAGATTAATATTAGGATATTAATCAATGACGTCTTTTGTGGTGCAGTAACGAATCAGTGATCCGAGTTGGTTCTACCTACGCCACCTATCAAATACTCGTGGCGCAATGTGTCACTTGTCTCGGGCGAGTTATTCACATTGTGGTTACCGTATATTGGAGAATACTGTTGAGTCCGTTTTTGTTATTTTACTGTTTCGGACACAGATTGGGCCTAGTAGTGTCACAGTGATGTTAATATTGTAAGACTTAATCATATATATTTGTGATGTATAGTGGAATAACATGTACTTACCATGGAATTTGGCTCTTGCATGAATATTCTTTGCTGACTGAACAGTAAATTTCAACTTGTACCATATTAATTTTGTTATATTTACTGCCATTACTATTCACCCAAACTTAACATTTTTTAATGATTTATAATTTTAACTTGATATACACTGAGCTGTATATAACGTGTTGCAACATTAAAGACAGTTTGTCTTAGTCAGTTAGTGTGTTCACAACTTTGAATTATACAATCTATACAGACATAAAGACTATAATTGTTCAACTTGAAGTTCATTGTTATTTACTATCACTATTATTGTACCAATGCATATAAAGGTGTTTTTATTTGCCAGAAAAAGCTGTGTTTGCTGGATACCTATGGGTCAGTTAAAATATTTGTTTCAGTATAATACTACAGGGATTTAACTACTGTACTATCTGGATAGCACTTTAAAAGATACACAAACTACCAATATCAGAAATCTAATAATATGAACTAAAATTATCTACTTGGTCTAATTTCCTTAAGAGCTTAATAGAACAATTAAAACTAACAAGTTATTATATAATGAATCTTGTGCTACTAATTTCACAATTTGAAATGTTTTATTAAGTTTAAGCTCAAACAGTAAAGAACAGTTACAATTAAATTGTCATTTAAACTTAAAGTATGTATAAAACTTGTCTTTAGCATAACATAAATGTTAAGGACAACAATGGACCTGTGGATTCATCTGTGACATCCTGAGACTAAACTAAAGTTTAAGTAAAAACAACTCAAAATGTATGCTATTGTCTCCTAATCCTACCATTCTCGCCATTAACTATACAAGTATAAGGAATAACATTATCACTAAATAGAAAAACTACGAAGGGCTGGCTACTGAACTTAAAAAGGAACAAAATAAGATACTCAGATAGGTATAGAAGTGGACATATCACTTGATTGGCTAATGTTCACATAAAAGACTATGCTTCCTTGACTTTACATGGAGAATAAAATTCCTACACTACTGGCTTCCCCACTCTGTCTATTGAAAGTTTGGTGTTTGAAGAGAATCTCAGTTTTCATCATTGCACTTTTTCTTTAGTTAATTTCAGAATACTACTTTTATGATTATTTTACAGTAGAGTAACATTTTATGATTGGAAGTCCTTGTTCTATTTGTTTTGCCAATGAGGAAGCCAGTATTGTAGGGATTTTATTCTCTATGTAAAGTTGAGACAGCTTAGTCTGTTATGTGATTATTAGCTAATCAAGTGATATGTCCACTTCCATCCCTAACTTGTTTGGTTCCTTTTTGCAAGTTCAGTAGTCAGCCCTACATAGTTTTTAATTTAGCAATATATTTTTTCTTATACTTGTTTGTTTACCTTTTTTTAAACATGGGTTACTAGGTTATAGAGTGTATTCTAAAGGTTTATACATTTTGCATATAATAATAATGATAATAAAATAGGTAGTCAGAGATTGTGAAGACTGTTTTGCTCTATCAAATGACTTTAAAATTATAGTTATAGCTAGAATTAGGTGGGGGCTAGGTCTGTTGAAGAAAGATGATGATGAAGGAAAATTAGAAATCTAGGTTTTGGCTGTTCACTGGTTTTGACTTTTGGATGTTCTGGATATCTGAAAAGTGGCATATACACTGGAAACAGAGTAACTGTGCCAGGTAGCTCTTCCTATTTAGCTTCCAATGTCCTATATGTCTATTAATGTTTTTTTTTTACTCCTTCACTTCATACTTAACATAGGGGTTGCTCCCTAAAGACACCGACTATATAATGTACAAAGCATTGAGTATTCTACATGTTACAGTCATCTAATGTGTGTCTATTATTGGCTAGTAATTCCTGTTTCAACCTGTACTTAAGTTTAAAGGAACATCAGATTCTGTAGGAAAGTTAACTTCAAGGGCTAATAACATTGTTTACACTAGAATTATGATTTTTTTTTTTTAAATATTACATAGAATAATAATAAAATAGATTGTCAAAGATTGTGTAGACTGGTTTTCTCTACCAAATGTTAATGTCACGTCTCTGCTCATTTGTAAATTTCCGGTATAAATTGTTTCCGAAGAACTTCAGCGATACAAGTCCTTTCTTAATTAAAACTAATTTATTCTTTCTTGATACAACTTTGTAATACATAGAATTTTCACAGTCAATACGTTTGCAATCTCGATAACAAAACACACACTTTATATTACCGTCACTACCGTTCGCTTGACTCAATTATTTATCTCCATATCTATCTATCTATGCCATTGCGCTGGTTTTTCTTGTCAAGCTTATATACTAAAAAAAGAGGGTGCCTGGAATAGACTAGAGTTACCAGGACAATTCAAGATCTTTTGAGAATCTCGTGTCATGTTACCAGCGTCACATGACTTCCGCTGTCGTAACTATTGTTGAGGAAAGATGATGATGAACGAAAATAAGAAATCTTGGTTTTGACTGTTCATCAGTTTTTGACTTTGGGATGCTCTGGATAGCTGAAAAATAGAATATACATCACAGACAGAGTGAATATGCCAGATAGCTTTTGATGATTTGTAGAGAAGAAAATCAGATGACCTTTGTATTGCTTTAATATGGTTGTCTGTGCCATCCCTACATAGAGAATGCTAATACACTCTTCCCCCCCCCCAAAAAAAAAGGGATCATGCATCAACACAATCAGTTCACCTAAGAGTCTTAAATACCTTAATCAGATCCCATCTAACTATTCTTTTTTGAAGAGAAAACAATTTCAGAAATCTTAACTTGTACTTGTATGACAACTTTTCCATGTTGGGTATCATCCTAGTAGCCTCTTCTGAACCCTTATCAACAATTCATTGTCCTTCTTAAGGTAAGGAACCCAAAAATGAGTGCAGTACTCCAAATGTGGCCTAAATTATAGCCTCTTTAGACTTGTGTTCAGTATTTTTGTAAATATAACATAAAATCCTATTTGACCTAGTAAAAGTACACTGCTTGGATGTCTGAAGAGACTGATCAACCAGAACAGGATAACTTGTGATATGAGAGAAGGTAGTTCACATCTCTGGTCACATCTGTTGTTATTATTGACAATCCTCACAGTAGAAATGGGTTGTAATGCTTGGCAGTTTAGGGTATTAAATATTTTTTGTTTAATATGTACTTTAAATTGTAAACAGTGTGGCAATGACTTGGTACTGTTTAAACCTAATATATTTTTGCGTCAGCAAGGTCGCGTGACTATTATCACACCACCCGTTTTCTAGAAATATCCTGTTCCTTCGTGAATGCCCTAGCATTTAATAGATTGGGGATAGCCTGGTATATATAGGATGGTCACAACGTGACGGGACAAAAGTGTTTATGTAATGAGTAATTGAATGTATGCGGACAAAATATTGTTGGCCATGTGAAACGTGAGCATTTATTATAGAGCGACTGTTGAAATTAAGTGTATCGCAATGTTATATTCAGAAAGAATAAACCAGTTTTATTTAAGAAAGAACTTGTGTCGCTAAAGTTTCGTCAGAACGAAGTTACGGAAAATTAATTAACAAACGGAGACGTAACAATATACTTACCATTTCTGTCAACATTTTTTTATTTCAGCTTAAAAATGAAGCAAAGGTATTATCATGAAGAAATTTAATATATTAAATTAGATATAGTCAGAATGTTTTTGTTACTTATTGTTTGATGATTTATAAATTTTAATATAAGCACTACAGTTGCAACTCAGAATATTAAATCTGTATCACCAAAATATAACTG